GCATGAAAGGGAGTAATAGGAAATGAAACGGGAAAGATAGTGGGAGCAAGGTTATAGAGGGCTTCGAATGCCAAGTTGAGAAGATTAAATAAAGTGGCAGTACCTTCAACACGTCCTAAAGACTTATGGAATGGAGTCTCAGGCAGATGCCATTTCAGAGATGCTCCGCAAGGCTGTGTCACGAAGACCTTATCAACCCAAACTTGCCAGATCTCAGAAGGCTCACGATCTCCCCACCACCAAGGGAGTGGTGCTAAGCATAACCTTGGCATGCAAGAAAACTGGAGGAGGAGAAACAGACAATGTACACGGTTCATCTGGCAGCTTTCCCAGGGGTTGGCATGCTGAGGAGGCACACAGAGGTATGCCTATGTCAGAGAAGACACCAGGCAATCCCATCAGTGAAGTAGTAAAACTCCCAAACTCTGAGTCTGTATTCCAATCAGAAAGCAATTGAAACCACTACTAGGTGCCATAATTACAGTTAGTCTATTAATCCCTATAAGAAAGTCCACTTTTCTTTCTTAAATCCATCCTTTCTACTCCATACTTCTGCCCTATGGTGACAGGAAGGGTGAGGCAGCTCAGCTCAGCTAGGAGTTACTCAGTGCTTTTCCAGGTATCACTCTGACTCATCTCATAGTTCTCAGCTTCCTTGACAGCCCTGGCCAGGGTGCTGACATTATCTCCCTCCTATTGTCCTTTCTCTTCCTCCCCCAAGGAAGGCCAATGGGACTTCTCTGCGCATCTTATCATAGAGCACATGGGTTAGACATTAGGGAAAGTCTCTTGATAGTAAGCATTGATAGATGTTGTTAGTGAGGAAAAGAGTCCAAGGACTCTCTGGAGGTCTAAAAAACAGGAGAGAATAACATATGCGCATGATAATTTAGGCGTAATTCTGCATTATTTTCACACCCTTGGAGAGTGAGCGTATGGTCTTATTTTGGTGCTGGCAAATGACCACATAAAAATAGCTTATACTTATATAATGTGTTGTAAAGATGTGCAGACATCTTATTTGATGCCTCTAAGCCTTGAGAGGTAAGCATGACTATTATTATAGCCTATTTTACAAATAGAAAAGGTGGTATTTAAATAGAGAGGTAGAGCACCTTGTGCAAAGACACATAACTAGTAAATCCCACAGCTGAGAAATGCACCCGGTTCCCTTGGCTATAAATCTAATACTCTTTCAGTTACACTGTCCCATAAAATCACCACTATTCTTAGGGGTGTATTCTATGAGTTAGTCTGTACTTCTAGAACCTAAACCAATTCCAAATCCATGGTTCTATCTCCACCTTCAATCAAGTAGATCAAAACCTGGCAGGGAAGGCTTAAAATAAATTACCTCAAGGCCTTTACATTCAAATCATTGAGAAATTAGACTGATGCCTCTGGGTGTTCTAGACCAAAGCAGGTAGAGAGAGTGATCATTTTAGAGCTAGAAGGGGCATGGAATACAGGCCCTTCATTTTACGGATAAGAAAACTGGAATCTGAATGGGGCCATGATTGTCCAAGGGTACTCACCTCCTGAGTGGACATCTCAGTTTGATTCAATTCAACAATCATTTATATTCAGCATCTAAACTGTGCTAGATGCCAAGGGATACAAGGTACCCTCCAGGTGCTTACATTCTACTGGGGAATGACAGGGGATGGAACACACAACAAAGTTATAGATGCTATTGCTGTTATTCAGTCATTTCAGTTGTGTCTGACTCTTCATGACCTCATTTGGGGTTTTTTTGGCAAAGATACCAGAGTGGTCTGCCATTTCTTTCTCCAGCTCATTTTGTAAAATCATCTGTAGATGAGGAAACTGAGGCAAACAGGGTTAAGTGACTTGTCCAGGGTCACATAGCTAGTAAGTGTCTGAGGCCCGATTTGAACTTGGAAAGATCAGTCTTCTTGATTCCAAGCCCAAGGCTCAAACCATTGTGTTGCCTAGCTGCCCAAGTATATAGATAAGTACATGCAAAATATTTAATTGCAAAGGAATTACATCTTCTACTAGATTATGAACTGACCAAGGGCAGAAACAAGCACCTAATAAAATACCTTGCAAACAGTAGGCACTTAATAAATATTGGTTGAATTGAATTGACTTATCCAACTCTTGATATGTGACCCAAGTACAGCACACAATTAGACCATGTGGGTGTCCTTGTAGACTGGAGATTTACTGATTAATGTCAAGTTATTCTGGAACCACATTGTCATCAAACCTGAATATGGGACAGAAGATTTCTGAGAGAGTCTCTCTATATAAAATAATGTTATAATTAATAAGATACAACATAATACAACATACTATGCATACAATATGTTATATTATGTTGTGTGTGTATATATATACACACATTATATATATGTGTGTGTGTACATATATATGTATATATACATACATACATACATATACATATATATATACATATATATGTATATATACATACATACATATATATATATATATATATATATATATACACACATACATAATTTTATAACATTAGTAGCCTTGTTTTTATTTTCTTGGCACAGCCAAACACAGTGTTGAACTTGGTTAATACATCACTTTGTTTGGCTAAATAACAATAGATTTGGTTATATGAATGGTGTCTGATCATTATTCTCTGCATTTAAAAAAATCTCACTTGAGTTCTGGTTATGGTTGGTGTCTACTCAGATAAAAGAATAGCTGCAAACTTTGTTTAGAAACACTCTTGCCTGACAGCTTCTATCCCCAACATACTATTGACTGAGTATTTCCGTCTTCAGTCTGTCTCTGCTGCTAATCCTAAATACCCTTTGATGCCCAGAAGTTTCCCCTGCCTTGGGCAGCTTGGTGGTGCAGTGGATAAGAGTGCCAGGCCTGGAGTTAGGAAGACCTGAGTTCAGATCCACCCTTAGACACTTACTAGCTGTGTGACTCTGAGCAAGTCACTTAACCCTGTTTGCCTCAGTTTCCTCATCTGTAAAATGAACTGGAGAAGGAAATGGCAAACCGCTGCAATATCCCTACCAAGGAAACCCCAAATGGGGTCATGAAGAGTCAGACACAACTGAAACAGCTGAACAACAGCAAAAGTTTCCCCTGCTATATTTTATTGAGGTCCTTGAGTAATGGCTTGCCCACTCAGTGAAAGCCAGGCCTTCCTTTTAAGGGGTAGGTGGGAGAAATCTGGTGCAGCAGAAGCTAGAAAAAGGAGAGAGAATAACTTTAGCCTGTATTTCCATTGCTAAACAGCCAGAAATGTGTTGGAGAAAAATTGCAAGGATTTGATCTCCACCATTTCATTTTCAATAATTGTCAACAATGAGGTAGAAACGTTGGCTCAGCAACCTTTGGCTTTACCAAGAATCCTGGGAGAACAGACCAATACTTTTTTCCCCCAGTAAAGTCCTCAGAATGGAGCGTCCTTCTACTAACAAGTTTACCTTGGTAAATAAACATGAGGTAGATGGTCATCAGCAACGCAGTGGTGATTAAATGTCAGCTTTTTTCCATTCTCTTGGAAATGATTTCCCAACACTTTGTTCATTTGGAATCTTTTTATTTCTTTTTTTTTTAATTGTCCAGATCTGTGACTTCACCAGCATAGGGAACTCCTAATATGAAAATCCCATTCACTGAGACAAATCAGCAGTTTCTTGCTAACTTAGAATCACAGAGAATCAATGGTGGTGGTGGGGGGGGGAGGTCACGCAGGGCTGAGATGTTAAGTAGATTTCCAGGGTAACACAGATAGAATATGTTTGAGAGACAGAACTTCAACCTGTGTCTTCCTGACTCTAAAGGAAGCTCTTATTCCTTTACCATGCTGCCTTTGTAACTAAAGAAGTTTTTTTTAAAGAAAATGATTGTTTTTCTGTCTCTATTTTGATCTAAGACATTATCATTTTGCTGACCAGAGCTTTGCTGTGGAAGAAGGTTGGGCCTACCATAGAGTATGCACCTAGTTTGGCTCCTGTGGTAAACCTGCCCATTTGCAAATTGTTGGACCCCTCTGGGAATTACTGGCTAAGCCCTGCTCAAGTTCAGAAGGCTGTATAGACCTCACAAATTCTAACCAAAGTAGTCAGCATCATTTGAAAAATGGGGATTGATAATACAAATCTCAGAGATTTATGATTCAAACTTCATAAGGACATTGTTCAAAAGGATTTGTGAGGCATGTAAACCTCACCATTATATCTTGGCAGTGGAAATGCTTCCCATTTAAGTAGGATTTTGAGTATTGCACTCAGCTCAAAGCAAAGTTAATGACTTTGCCATAGTTCTGTACAGTTCTCTGAACCTGGGGAAGGCCTATTTGGTGGACCTCTTTGCGAGGAGGCAGTTTTTTCTGTGAATGGAAAACCTGTCTTGTAAGTACATAGCTAAGCCAACCTGATATTTATGAATAATTTAACCTTAGGCACAATTGTTTGCTGTAGGAAAAAATATCATCTTCCCTTCCCCCTCAAAAAAAAAGTTCTGAATGAAATTAAATTATTGTGAAAACTAGTGACAATAAGAGCAATGAAAACATGAAAATAAAAACTCTTGCACTGAAGACTTATAGATATTATCAAGTCCTCATAGTATCTTTGAAGAACTAAATCAGGGCTTATTTATAGATTGAAGGAAAAATTTGGTCCAAAAGACTGACCCAAAGGCTATTGTCTCAAAGGAAATAATGTGGAAAAGATGTTGTATTTGGAATGAGAGGATCTAGGTTCAAATCCTGCCTCCAGCAAATCATTTCATCTCTCTGGGCCTCGCTTTTCCTCATCTGTTAAACGGAACAGTTATTCTGGATAGCACACAAGGTCCCTTGCAGCTCTAAATTTATGATTGACTGAAAGCACTATGCAAACTCCAATGCTCAATAGAAATGCCAACAGTAGTAGAAGATATAAAATCTAAGAAGCAGAGGAAAGAGCGTTGATCATATCCAGTCTCTGATCTTTACTGCTTCTGTGTGACCTTGGGAAAATCATTTTGCTTACCTGAATGTCCTCAGTAAAGTGAAGCTGGGTCAGGTCCATTCTAGCTCCGGATCCACTATCCTTCCTTTTCTTCTGATTCTGTTCATATTTTAATAGAACACATTTTGAAGACAGTGCTGCTCACCACCTTTTCTCAAAATGGATGGGTCTTTGTTCTCTTTCTTCTTTTCCTAAGAGGCTGCTTCACTGATGAAATATTTGAGGAAACTTCTATCCATGGTTATTTTTGAAGTGACGGCTGCCTTAGGAGGAAATTTACATGGAGATTCAGCGAAATTCTCTTTGCATGTTATCATTTGCTACAAATGCTTAGCTAGGACTCAATGACCCAGCCGTGTGTCTTCACTTACTCTAGTGAGCTGTATCTGATTGGCTATTCACCAGTGTAAGGAAGAGGTGGCAGACATGGGGGGAAAATCATAAAAACAAATTGTCTGAATACCGGGGAACCACAGTGGGTGGCCTAATAGGCCTAGTATATCTTGAGCCTGGTATCTTTAAGGGGAAAAACACCTGTGAAATTGGACATTTTTTGTGTCAATGTGAAGATTTCTTATAATTTTCATTTATTTCCATGAATATTGCACGTGATCCTCAGTATAAGCACAGTTGTTATTAATCAGCTTCTAAAACTGGCACTTAATACAATGCCTGATACATAGTAGGCATTTAATTAATATTTACTGCTTGATCTTACTCAGGAGTGGGAGGGAAGGGTAACATATCCAAGAGAAAGAAGGAGAGTTTAGCTCCCCTTTCGCCACACTCTATCAACTTTCCAACCTGATCTTTTGGCACAATTTTTAAAATTATTTTTAACCTCTGGGTTTTTTTTTTAATGCTCAATCTTTGCAAAAATTTGTGACCAGTTATCTTATGTTCTTTCAGGAGATTAATTTAGTACCTACTCACCATATCCAGAAAAAAAAAACCCAATTTGGGAGCCATTTATAAATAACATACTAGTCAAACTCAATGAATGGGAACTTTGTTTACACTTTAACCTTTCTTTTGCATTAATTGAAAGTAGTCATGGGAAGTTGAGCCTGCCTAGCCTCAGGTCAGACAACTACAAAGGGAACCATTTCCTGCTCAGAAATAAATTTATTCCAAATTTAAGTAGGGTACTATGGGTCTGATTTTTTTTCTTAACTAGAAAATCCTACACAATTAATATATTTGAATCTGAACTTAAAATACCCACAGAACACACAGACTAGACCAGGTTTGTTCCAAGGGTGGACTCCCATTTCTTTTCTTTAAATCCAATGCAAATAAAGTTAGTCACTGGTTCCTTTTAGCAATGGCCATACAGTCACAGAAGCATATTTTTCAAATGACTCGTCCAAGAGTGCTAAAACAACCTGTTGGAGTTGGAAGGGCCCCAAGTCTGGCCTGAATTCTTTTCATTTCCTTCCTTGCTGTCACCCTTTTTGCAAAAACTGGCATGATTTTAAGGCTCTGGTTTTAATTTGCTTTGTCTTGGAGTTATAGTGAAAAACATGGTAGATATCCTGTTTTATGTGTAATACTTACGCAACATTGTAGTGGGAAAAAATTTGGAAACCTTATGGTGGTTTCTTCAGTGGTTGACCTGTATCAATTCTTAGAAGTCCAGTATTAATTATAGGCAGCGTTCTATACCCACTGTCTCCCACTTCTTCAAAGGAGAGTGGAGAGATGCATTTTATTCATTGCAATCATTCATTATATTAGCTTTTGCCTTTTTTTTTGGTTCGCCTTTTCATTTACATCGTTGTAGTCATGGTGTATATTGTATTTTTGGCCCTGTTTCACTTTGCATTCATTCATATAAAGTTTCCCATATTTCTCTTTATGTCTTATGTGTTCCTTTATAATCACGTACCACAATTAATTTAGCCTTTCCTCAATCAGTGAGCACCTTTGTTTCTAGTTTTTGATGCCACAAAAAGTGATAATATAAGCATTTTGGTGTGAATAAGACCTTTCTTTCTGTCTTTGTCCTATGTGGGGGATTTGCCTCAAAGTGGAACTATCAGACCCTAGGCCCTTGACGGTGATGCCACAATAGCGTAGGTCTTCATGGGTCCTGCCAAACTGGAGAATCTTTCCCTGTCATATCTAGTTACAGCAAGGCTGATTTTTAAGAGATATGCAACAATTACCATCATAATTTTTTTGGTTTTTTTGGTCATAGCAGCTCTGGAAGACAGTCTCCCAAGTTGTAGAAGGACTGTGATCTGCATCAGTGGAGGCAACGCCCCACATCTGTAAAATCCCAGCCCTTTGAAGTATCATCATATGTCTTAGTTCTAACTCCACCACTATTCCCCAAGTGAAAAGCATTTTGCTGTAGTTGATTCTGGGAATACCCAAGGACTTACTGTTTCAGAGTATATTCCTGGTATACACATACATATTCCTGGCCTTCAATCACGTCCTCACTTGTCTGATTTTCCAGGAATGAACAAGACACATTTAAACATTTCAATCTGAATGTTTAAAATGTTCTCAATCAGCAGAATCTGGAAACTATAGCTTAGGCAGGTGGCCTAAAAGTAGTTAGATGAGTTCAACTCAAAAGTCTGACCTAATAGTGTTTTTAAAATAATCTGTAAAAGAAAGAAAAAGAAAAAAAACCTGGTCAATCCAAAGCAAATAGTTTAGACATACAGTACATCGAACACCAGCCTAGCTTATCTCTGCCAGGTTTTGCCACAGTATGCAAAACAGGATGAAAGGAGTTCAAAGTCAGCTTTGTCTGGAAGGATATAGCAAGAGATATTCAAAGGGTAGAGCAGCAAAGTCCCCAAGAGCCCCCATTCAACACATGACAAAATTCCCTCGAAGAATTTGACAAGAGGCAGGTAGAATGTCAAGAGCCAGCTAGAGTTTGGTACAGAGGAATTGCATCTACCTGAGGACAGAAGTCAGCAGAGCTCACTCACTATCAGGTTGCATCAAGATTTGCTTGCTCAATGGGCTCTAGCTTCACTCTGGCTCTTAACACAGTTGGCCCCAATTCTTCTGAAGCTGAAGTGAGGAATGCTCTGCATGCCTTGCCATGGGGTGCAGATAAACACCTATTATGTGTAGAAGCTCAAATTTTTCTGAGCCTGTCCTCTTTCCAGCCTTGCTGGGTAATTATTTCCAGGGCAGCACCTCTGAATGAGATAGTACCATTGAGCTCAATGTCAGAAATCAACAAACTCTACCCCTGCAGTGTCTAGAGCCTAGCCCCACCAGGTTCCCTTTTGTTGGGGGCCTATGTGTTTCCATCCAGGCCAGTGGCCTGAGCACTCTTTGGGAAAGAGATTGTTTGTCCTTTGTGTGCCTGACAAAGCACAAATCCCCAGTGGGAATCTGATGCTATGGATATGCTTTTGTGGGGGGTCCCTCTCCTCCTGCTCTTCTACAGATTGTTGGTGCCCTTCCTAAAATTGTCGCCCAGCTAGAATCAGATCAGAATGCAGAGGAACCATCACCTCCCTCATCCTGCACCCTGTGCCTCCTATTGGCCGCCATATTACGCAGCTGACACATACTGAGCTTGCTGGCTGCTCCTTCTTCAGGTCTCTTTCCCATTAGATTGTGAGCCCCTCAAGAGCAGGGACTGTCTTTCAGCTTTCTTTGTATCTCCTTCACTTAGCCTGGTGCCTGGCACACAGAAGGCATTCAAGAAATGCTGATTGACTGACTGAATTCAGTAAAACTTCCCACATCACATATTTGGGAGCTGACTTTTTGAGCCCAGGTATAAGATTCTACATTTATCTTCATTCAGTAGATTTTTCCCAATGTTCTAATTACTTGAGGTCTTTTGGATCATGGTGTAGGATTGGAAAAGGGCTTGGAAGAGCTCTAGAATGCATTAAGGGAATGGTTAGTGGACATCTAGGAAAGGAAGTAATGATCGTAGCACAGCCATGTGCCATGCTAGATTTGCCTCATTTCCTTTTATGAAAGGATTAATAGACCAGGCGTGGTAGATTTTTGCAAACATTTGACTAAGCCTCTCGTGCTAATCTTGTAAAAAAGATGGAAAGAAAACAACTAGGAGGTAACACAGTTGGATGAACTCAAAACTAGATAAATAGCTAGATTCAGAGAATCATGATGAATGCGTGGGTTTCTGCCTGGAAGGCTAGCTATAGTAGAGTACCTTAAGGGTATGTACCTGGCCATGGTCTGGTATAATTTGTATCAGTAATTTGGATGGCATGCTTATCAAATTTTCAAGCTTGGCTAATGCAACAGTTGACTAAATCAGAATCAGTTAGGATGGCATAACAAATGGGGAGCTGACCTCATAGTCAGAAAGAATTGAGTTCAAGCCCTGCCTCTGACACATACATGCTATGTGATCCTGGGCAGGTCATTTAGCCTTGATTATTCATAACCTAGCCCCTTCGTACCTTTCTAACCTCCTTATATATTACTGTCCTCCACATATTCTTCAATCCCATTACACTGGGCTGTTTTCAGCCCTTTGAATATGATTCAGTATGTCTAGTAGAGAGTAGACTCTATCCTGTTATAGAATATGCTGCCCCAGGAGGCAGTGAATTCCCCCATGCTGGAGGTCTTAACTGAACAACAGTAATGTACTTAACATCAATCAGTTAATAAATATTTGACTATGTATAACTATGTTTAATGTAAATATAAAATATAAATATTTAACCATGTAAGCACCTAATATGTGCCAGGCACCATGCTCCCACAGAGATAGAGTTTTGGAGTCATATCTCTTTTAGCACAGAAACAAGTGACATTTCACAAAACCCTGCGTTCATTTGCTTTTGGTCTGTATCTCCCTCTTCTAGATTGGCTGTTTTTCTTGGGGTGACCACTCTCCTTTGCATGCTGACTCCCCAACATGGTTTGATGGATGAGAAGGTAAGAGGTCATGTTTGACTCTGTTTTGTTCTTTGTTGTTTTGGTGGGATTTTTTTTTTTGGATTGGAGCTCTTCATACTTAAATGTCAATTTGGTTTTTTTAAAAATGACAATTATGTCGTTATTACTGGTCGTTGTTGGTACTCGTACCGTTTGACATTTTTTTAAGCTCTCTGGCGCCTTAGGATTGATAAACAGCACCCACCAGATGTGCTGAAGAGAGGTGATACCAACAAGTAGAAGGAAGACAATACGCTGGGGGCAGGAAAGGGGGTGGA